CTGAGCTTCTGCTCAGTGAGTCAAGGACCTTGGGGTTAAATTGTGTGTGTGTGTGTGTGTGTGTGTGTGTGTGTGTGTGTGTGTGTGTTGGGAGGAAAAGGGGAAAGTGCAAGGAAAGATGCTCTCCAGTCTTGCAAAGAGTTTACTCTGATCAGGAGTTAGGGTTGAATGGAATTGGAGTAACAATAATAAACATTTACTGAGCACTCTTAGACCCAATGAGAAGTGACTTCTATACCCTCATCTTAGTGCAACGTATGACAATTGTCCTCATGTTACAGGTGAGGAAACTGAATTTTGGTAATATTCCAATTCAGTTCTATGCTCTATAATCTTTCTCTCCCCCCAATGTAGTTGCCTTAGTTCCTCATCAGGCTCCAAAGACCTGGGTTCAAACCCAGTTTTAACAGCTCCTAGATAGTTTATGTCAGGTCCCTGAGCCTCAGTTTTGCCACCCAAACAATGGGGATGATAATATTACCCTTCTCACAGGAGCTGTTGTGGGAATCAACTGGAAAGCTAAAGCATGAGATGATAATGCAGAGAGTCCAGCTAGTCACCACCAGCCTGGAGTCTTGACTTCTGAAGTCTCTAGGGTGGTACAAACAGATAATGTGCTTGGCTGCCAAATGAAAGATGGGCAGTTTTAGCCCACACAGGGGTGCCTCAGAAGAGAGACCTGGAGACCTACTTCCAGAAAAGCAGCCACTGAAAACCCTATGGAGCTCAGTTTTATGACACACATGGGGTTGCCACAAGATGGAAATGATTTGATAGCAACTATTCATCTGAGTTGTACTTTTAAAATGTGGCTTTACTAAATACCTAGAAGAGAAAAAGGGAGGTGGGTGCTGGAGGCTGGTGAATCCCCCTCTCACCCCCTCCAAAGAACCCTATGTAAACAGAGGGCAAGATAAGCTGGCAGGACCATGGGATGGAAGGGGGAGCACCATGTCAGTGCCTTTCAGCTCAAAGAAAATGTGAGAGGGCAATCAAGGCACTAACTTAGCCAATTACTGATTCCTCCAACTTACTTCAAGTCGGTAACCAGGCCAGATCGGAACACATCTTGTAGCTGGCTGCCTGTGTAGAGTGTGGTGACCTGGAATGAGGGATAAGGAGAGAGGTTGAGGTAGAGGAGGGAACTTGGAGGTGGAGGAGCAACCAGAGCCGATGGAAAGAACACAGGCCTCAAGACATGGGTTCAAATCCTGACTCCACAGCCCAACCTATTGTGCAGCCTGAGGCATGCTGCACCCCTTTCTGAGCCTCTTGGAAATGGAGAAGGCAGCCTGGCACCAGGGAATAAAGAAGACAGAACATCATTGGTAAAGTGAAGAGGTGAAATAATCACTTAGCAGACATAAGTCAGATGATAAAGAGAGAGACACAAGGCAGAGAGAAGTGGGAGGGGCAGGAGAGACCTCACCTTGTCCTGGAGGTCCCACAGCAGGGCAGCGTATTCTGAGGATGCAGGATCCGGGTTGCTGAGATTCCGGTTGATGATGCGAAAATTCAGCTGGTATTCGCTCTGGGTAGATAAACTCTGGGACGTGTAGCCTGGAGTCACAAATTAAAAATAAGGGACAGACCCTTACCCTTTCACACAGAGGGTAGGCCAAGAGCCAAGAGGCTGTATTTGCTGTCATGAAGGGGGGAACAAGTTGTCATGGAGTTGATTCTGACTCCTGGTGACCTTCGATGTGTTAAGAGTAGAGCTGTGCTCCACATAGGGTTTTCAATGGCTAACTTTTCTTAAGTAGTTTGCTAAGTCTTTCTTCCAAGTGCCTTCCAAGTCTCCAACCTAAGCATGTTAACTGGTTGCACTACTCAGGGCCTAACCTGTTACCATTGGCTCTCTTCCGATTCATGCCAGTCCTGTAAGCCAGAGTAGATCGTGCATGTCCCTGCGTATTTTGTCAGCCGCAGTCTTTATGGAAGCAGACCGCCAAATATTCTCAAAGAGCAGCTGGTGAGTTTGGAACGCCAACATTCAGTTCATAACTGAACCTTATAACCACTGTACCACCAAGATGTCACAGGTCTACAGTCAGTCCAAACCAGATGCCTGCTGGGAAGTCCTGATGGAAAAGCACCTCTAAAAGAGGGAAGGCTGGTATATGACAGGGAGTCTCTTGAGCTGAGCTTTCCTGCTTTTGCCTGTATAGCTCCCTCTCCCTGGGGGCTCTTTTCTCTTCTGCTTTCCATGAAAAACTATTTGTGCTTTAGTAGCCTACTGAGATGAAGCTCCAAGAGAGCCAGGACCTATCCTGGTATTGTTCACTGTCATGTGCTAGTGCTTCACATAGTGCTGGAAACAGTCCACGGGACTTCAACGAGTTCATGGGAACATTTCATGACCTTTTCATTAAATTGTTGTATGAATGTTTTGAAGCCCTCTAGGATCCCATTCCAGGAAGCCTTCTTGCTTGTTCATCCTCTAAGCTCTCTAGCTGCCATCAAGTTGGTCCTCAATTTGTGGCAATATCATGGATAATGGAATTGAACCTGTTGTGATCCACAGGGTTTCACTAGCTGGTTTTCAGAAGTTGACCGCTAGGCTTTTCTTGTTTGAATGGAAACTCCCCGGAAGCATAGTCAGCATTATAGCAAAAAGCATGCTCCACTGATAGATGTGTGGTGCATTTGTATGAGATACTTGGGCTGAGAACAGAACCTGGGTCTCTCACAAAGAAAGCAAGAACTCTATCATTCAACCACTTCCATCAAGCTGATTCCAATTCATAGTGACCCTGTAGGACAAAGCACACCGATCTCTTTAGGTTGCCCAAACCAGAAATCTCTACAGAAGTAGGTAGTTTCATCTTTCTCCTGCAGAGTGGTTGCTGGGTTCAAACTGGTGCGCATAACACATAACATTACCATTAAAAAAAATCTACTGCCCTTGAATCAATTCTGAATCATAGCAATCCAAGGTTTGCAAGTCTTTAAATATTTATGGGAACAGATCACTTCCTTTTTCTCTGGTGAAGCAGCTGGTGGGTTTAAACCACTGAACTTGCAGTTAGCAGTCCAGAATTTACCCAACTGTGCCACCAAAACTCCTTAATCTAGCATTTAGCACACTATTAGTAAGCGTGTGACTGACTTTATTGAGCTCTTTATTAACCCTTGACTCACTCAATTGGGGTTGTCAGAGACAAATATATATATTCTAGCTTTACACCCAGTACAAGGCTTGGGACAGAATGGTCACCCAATTAAGTTTGTTATGTAGCTGAAGATGAGCTGCAGCAGACCCCCGAGCATTGAGGGCTAAGATCACTTTTTTCTTGTTCACACAGTCATTAATTCATGCATTCGTTCACACATTCATACAATACTATTATATGCCCACATATTGAGGGTACAGTGAAAGCCAAACAGACCTTCATGTCCTAGAGCTCACATGAAAGGAGGCTGCCAAATAATTAAACTAGTGATAACAGTAACATGCTTAGGTAAGTGCTAAATTTGTGCCCGAGTAGGAACTGTGAGGTCATGTACAGCAGGGTTTCTCACCCTCAGCACTACTGGCATTTAGGGCTATGTAATTCTTAAAGGATACACCAAACACAGAATCAGGTATATTTTTATCTGGCAACCTGACTGCTGAGACATGAGGGGGATGTAAGTGTCAAGTGTTATCTGAATAGGAAGAGTGGGATTCTGACGCTTAGTGCCTCTCTTCTCTATATCCTAAGGCCCTCCTGTGGCCCTGTTGGTTAGCTAGATGGGACTATGCAGGGCCCATTCTCCCCTTGTCTCTGTTGGATTTTTTCAACTTTGGAGGCTAAACTAGGGGCTCCATGCACTGTGGTGGGGAATCCTGTGGACTAAAAGATGTTCATCAGCATCCTTGGCATCTACTCACTAGATGCCAGTGGCATCCTCTCCAGTTGTGAGCCACAAATATCTCCAGACATTGGTTAGTGTCTGCCAATGGTGCAGAATTGCCACCAGGTAACAATTATTGATATGGAAGGGAACCCAAGACTCCATCTCAGGAGATTCTATGAGCCAGACTTTTGGGTTTTAAATTAAAATTTGATCAATGAATGTTATACCATTCACCTGAATAATGTGACCCCACTTATTCTGATTTGGGGAGAGGTGACTTCCAACTACATTTTATCGAGGGTAAGGCAATGGAACACTTTGTGGCTAAGTTACACATGACTGCTCACCATCAACAGAGAGGCTGTCCCTGTCCAGAGTGTAGGGACCTAGTTGAGTGATGCCTTGGGTCAGTTGGCTCAGCTCCCAGAATAGACGCTTTCTATCCAGCCTGTGGCCTGCAGGGTAAGCATGGTAGGTGCAGATGATGTCCACTCTGGTTGCTGCCCTGTCCTTCTTAGGCCTGGGGAGGAAGGGATGTGGGGACTAATAGAGGGAAGGTTATGAGACCTGGGAGTAGGGGATAAAGAACCAGCAGGGACAAGCAAGTGGGAGGACAGGGCAAATTGAGAAAGGGGCGGTCTCTAAAAGTGATAGTCATCACAGGTAAATGGCCAGGAAAAGGTCTCACCGTAGGGAGATGAGTCTACAATCGGAATAGAAGGGGCCCAGGCTGCTCTTCCGGAACAAGGGTCTGAGCTGGAAAGAAGATAAAGAAAAGTGAGCAGGAGATACTGTGGTTTAGGGAAGGGCTATTGTTGGTAGCTGTCACTGTGTTTAGCCCCAATTAATGGCAGCCCCAGATACAACAGAAGGAAATGCTGTCCAGGCATGTGCCATTCTCATGAGAGGTAGAAGACTGAACTCTTAGGACCCATAGAATTTCCAATAGCTCATTGTCAGAAGCAGACCACTTGGACTTACTTCCTGGACTATCTTAGTCTGGAAGTTTTTCTGAAACCTGTATAACAACATAGCAACACACAAGACTCCTCCCACAGATGAGAGGTCACTGTGCATGAGGTGTATTGGCCGCGACTTGAACCTAGGTCTGCATAGAAAGTGAGAATTCTACCACTGGATCACAACTTCCTTCATTGGGGAGGGGCTCATCAAAGTTTATGTCATTCGCAGGTGCTGTACTTGACATCTCACCAGGTGCTGCAGGAGCCTCTCTGTGGAGTTGAATGTGGCAGAGCTGGGGTTGCCCATGTCAGGTGAAAAGTGGAGGTTGGAGATGGTAAAATTGAGTGTAAGGGTCTTCAGGGTATACCCTGTACCTGCAATGGAGGAGATGTTCATTCCATAGAATTGTTCTGAGACCAGATCAGAGCCTGGTATTTATTATAACCTATTGCATTCTCTCCCAGGAACACTACCAACCCAAATCAGAACCTGCACAGTGCCCACATAATGGATGCTTCTCACCTATATCTCTTCTCTCCATTTCTGTCCTAACTCAGGCCTTATTTTCTCTCATCTGGACCAATAATCCCAGTAGACTCACTAGGCTCCCTGTCTGAAGGGAAACTGAACACTAGAACATTTCTTAAATGAAAGCCTCACTAGGGCCCCCCCTGCTTTAATATCACATCTTGCTCCCTATGAGCTTTTGTGTTTAGTTCAGGCTCTTTAATTTGCCCTTCAAGGCTCTTCCCAGTGTGGCCTCTGCTAATGTACAGCCTTCCATGACAACCAAATTCCTCTCCTTGATCCCCATTCACTATATTGTTTCAGGACACTGCATCAATAAGCATGTGATCTCCTGACAGGGCCATCCTTCAAGCAATATTTACCTAGATCACATCTATTCATCCTTAAAGACCAAGTTCAAGTGAAATATTCTCAAGTTCTCTCCCAAATTATGCCAGGTACCTCCACCTCAAACACCCAACATTGTGTTATAATAGTCTTTTTTTTTTCTCATGAGAGTGGAAGCTCCTTGAGGGGAGGCATCATCTTTAATTATTCTAATCTCTGTGATCAGAATAATTATCCTTTACACCTGGCTTTTCCAGCTCCTATCTGATGCTTGATGGAGGTATGTGTGACTGAGGAGGTTCCTTCAGAGTGGAAGGGGGTTGAAATACCTGTGGTGGCTTCTGGCTGTACAGTTGTTGATGAAGGGGGCAGGACTGTGGTGGCCAGCTCAGGAGCTATGGGAAGGACAACAATCAGGGTGGGATAGAGCCTCACAGAGATCAGGAGCTTACCTGGTCTCTAGTGGCAGTTTATCCCAGAATAAAAAAACATAGGTGCTCCATAAATGAGGCCGAGGGAAGGAGTGGCTGTGAGGGAAGGCCTTAGAACAAGAGAAGGTGACCCAAGAAAAGGCGGAAGAAAGAGGATGGGTCGATGAATGGAGGGATGGATGGATGGGTAGCTAGCTGAATAGAAAAATTGACAGATGCAATAGGTGAATGGACAGAAAGAAAAATAGGCAAATGGAGGACAGTAAAAATGAAGCAAGGAAGAAAATTTAGAGATGGAAGGAAAGAAGACTAGAAGGACTGATCGATGGGTGCTAGAAGGATGTGGAAGGATGGGTGCTGAATGGAGAGAAGACTGGGAGGATGGAAGAATGGATGAGTGGGAAGATAGAGTGATCTGCTCAGCTGACAGAGTTTGCATTGATACACTATTTTTGGCTCCCATTAGCAGGACACATAGAATGTATCATTATCTGACCTCAGCACCTCTTCCTATAAGGAAAGCTTGCCCAAATAGCTTCCTCCAGCCAGGGGATGGATGGGAAATTCTGAACAAATACAGATACCATGTGGGTAGGTCCAGAAGAGGCAAAAGACCCAGCCTTCATTGTCTGAATGAGGCCTTGACCTCACTCAAGAGACCTACCCGCAGTTGTGGTTGTTGTTTCTCCTTCAGTCAGAGCATTGGGCCCCACATAATCCCTACTAGTGAAAGCTGACAACTGGGTCACTTCTAGCTTCTTCTCCTTATCAGAGAATCCCATTCCCTGTTCTGGGTACATCGTACTCTCTCTATTCGGCTCATAGGTGTGCAGCGTATGGTACCTGACCAACCTCCTTCTCTACTTGCTTCTAGTGAGGAGAGAACAGAGTCCCTCACCTATGGCACATGAGGGGGTCACACAGACCATCAGTTCTGTATCGGCTTTGGGGAGTAACCTAATGGCCATGGTGCACGTGTTTCTATGGAAACTGACCTTGCTTTGTCTCTTCCCTGTGTGAATAAAGAATGGTTCCACCCAATGCCTATATGTAAGTTGCACTTTGGACCTTGGACCTTGGTTTGACAGCTAAGCTGTGAGTAATGAAGGGAGCCATTTGACAGGGGTGAACTCCCCTTGTGATTGAGGAATGAAGATACTTACTTGTAGGAGGCTCGGCTGGACCAGGTTCGTTATACCCTGGAAGCAAAGTATCACATATAAGGGGAGGTGGCAGAAGAGTCTCAGATACATCATGCCTTTGTCCATATGGGTCCCCTGTTGGATGCCTTCCTCTATGCACCTTCTAAGGTATAGTTTAAATGTCATCTCCTGTATCAAAGTTCTCTTGATTCCCCTAACTGGGTCTGACCCTTTCCTCCCTGCCTGTCTAGCATGGCCCCAAGAAGAGGTTCTTGCATTCTCATATCATTTCTATGTCTTCTTATCTTCCTACCCATGCACTTAGCTCTTCACTCTTCTACCAGCCTTTTAATTTATCCCCCTATCCTTTTGCCCAATACATATTTACTAAGGCTCTATTAGTGCCAGGAGTCCCTGGATGCCACCACTGGTTAGATGATTGGCTGATAACTAAAAGATTGGTGGTATGAGCCAACAAGAGGCACTTCAGAAGAAAGAACTGATGGTTGGCTTATGAAAACCCAACAGAGCACAGTCCTGTTCTTACACACATTGGGTTGGCAAGAGTCAGAATCAGCAGCTTGATGACATTTTTGTTTTGATTTAGATGCCAGTCTCTCATTTACATGAGGGGAATTAGATTATAGCCTTGGAAACCCTATGTTCTATTCTGTCTGATGAAAAATCAACTCCATGGCATTTGGTTTGGATTCTTTTGAAAGACCCCATTTTCCATGCCCATAGTACGGAGCAAAACAGTCCCTACCCCATTGAAGCTTACACAAGGGCAAGGCACACATCTGACTTATCTCTATCCTTTTTACTAAGCACATGGTCTCTCATTCACTGTCTTCAAGTAGATTCTGACTGACAGTGACCACATAGGACAGGATAAAATTGCCCCATGGGTTTCTAAGACTGTAACTCTTTATGGAAGTAGAGAGTCTTGTCTAGTTTATCGTCAATGCTTGGCAAATGCTAAATGAATGCACAACATGATGCGTATGCACTCTGCACTTTCCAAGGAGGCAAATCCTAAATGGCTCCTGCATTGGCTGAAGCTAAGGGGACTGATGTGGACACAGGATACAGATGCATAACCACAAACTTACTGTGGGCACAGGCACCTCCAGGTGCCTCAGTTTGCTCCTTTCTGAAAACGAGAGTAATAACAAGTGTTCCCAGGCTATGGATGGAGCAACGGAGAGTTTTCTGATTGGCTTCACTGTGGCCATGCTTTGCGTCCTAGGACCCAGATAGGGAACACCTTCTTGTTGAAAACTGTCCCTTGCGTAGGTTCTAGGCTGACACCGATGGCCAGCATGTTTGTAACGTAACCACCCTAGATGTTCACAGTGTCTGGCCCCTCAGACACAGGGACCCAAAGAGAAGACCGTCAGAAGCATCCTGTCAAAGCAGGTGGGAATTCCCTTCCATGGGGCTTCTCCAAGAGGAATCTTTTATGAGATGTGTTGAGGAAATCAAGGCTTCAGATTCTGACAATTGGGGTCCCAGGTCATCACTCTCATGCTATATCTACTTGGGTTCATTATCTAACCTGTTAGACTTTAGAGCCTTAGTTTCTTCATCTGTAAAATGCTCTTAATCAAGAACTAGCCTTGCAGATGGCTGTGGGAAGTTAGTGGCTGAGTCAGGAATCATACCTGAATTTGTTCCAAATCTTTTCCTGGAGACTAGGTCAACAGATACCCTCCTGGCCTGTGAGGGTGGGCCCAGGAAGATGGGAAACAGACACACTCACCATTGAGGTAGAGGCTGTCCTTGTCCAGTGAGTAGGGACCCAGTCGTGTGATACCACGGGTCTGCCAGCTCAGCTCATGGAACACTTGCTTGGCATGAAGGCCGGGACCACTGGGCGGCTGCCGGTAGGTGCAAAGGGCATCCACCCCTGTCCAGGCACCATTCTTCTCAGACCTAGGGAGGGAGATGCTTCTGAGGATGTGAAGGAGAGTCTTCCTTTTGGGGATGGATTCCACCTGTGGCCAATGCACACCTCATATCCTGAGTTCTAGCCTCATTGAACTATTTTCAGCATCTCCAACATTCATCTCTGGGCCTTTGCACATCAGTTACTCTGGTCTGGAAGACTCTCCTTACCTGGGTGATTCCACAATCATTTTTCAGGTATCTTCAGTGATGCCTCCGTCCAACAAGGACCATCTCAGGGTGGTTCAATGGTCTCCTCTAGAACCCCCAGTCCCCTAGGCTCTCCTGTCACAGGCATTGTTCTTATTGTTAGATGTCACTGAGTCGTTACTAACTCATAGTGACTATGTAAAACAGAACGCTACTCTGCCCAATTGTTGGTTGCTATCAAATAGGTTCTCTCGCGTAGTGACTGTATGTACAACAGAAGGAAGTGCTGCCCAGTCCTGTTCATCTTTATAATTGTTGGTATGTTGGAATCCATAGTTTCAGCTGTTTTATCAACCCATCTCATAGAGGGTTTTCATGGAAACTTCTACCGTATCAAACATGATACCATTTTCTGGTCATTGGCCTTTCTTGATGACACGTCCACAAGCAAGCAACAGGAAATCTCAAAATCTTAACTGTGAACCAGTTTCCATTGTATTTCTTTTAAAACCTATCTGTTCGTTCTTCTTGGAGGTTGTGGTGCAGTCAATATGCTTCACTCACCACAATTTCAGCACATTGAGTCTTCTTGTGACTTTTATGTTTTAATTGCCCCACATTTGTACACACATGAGGCAACTGAACAGACCACGACTAGTGTCAGGTACGCCTCATTCACCGGTGACATTGTTGCTTTTAAGAATTTGAAAGAAGTCCATTGATTTTCATTGGACTTTTTTTTCAAAGTAGAGTTCCATTATGCAATACATCCTTTGATTTCTTGACTGTTGCTTCTGTGGTCATTGACTGCTGGCAGCCCCCATTGCCCTCTATGCAATCATTTTGGGTGGTTTCGTATTGTCTCTAGACGATGGCCTCATAAGGATGGGGAATGAGCTAGTCTAGCTCACTGGTGTTATAGCGAACCTTAAACATCAAGCAGTGTCCGGTTCATTTGAAATCAGTCTTCCAAGGCCCTACATGCTGTCGACCCAGATGATGTTTAGAGCTCATCTCTCTCTTCCCTTTGCTCTCTCTCCACTCCAGCCACACTGGCCTCACTTGCTGCTTATTCAACATGCCAAGCTTGTTCTCACCTTAAGACATTTCCCATGTTGTTCCCTCTGCCTGGAAGTGTGTTCTTGGCATTCAGTGTACAGCTTCACAGTCTGTTCCTGTGGAAAGCTGCCCTCCACATCACTATTTATGCTCCACATAACCTCAACCTGATTGAAAAGGTCCTACCTACATTTTCTGTCCTCCTGCTCAGGATCAGTTTGTCTCCACCAGCTGAGATCAGGGGACACAGTCTGCTTTGTCCCTGTGGTACTTTGGACAGTTTGGACAAAATATGGATGGACACCAGTAACCCAGGTACCATAGCATTGATTCCAAATGATGGTGACCCCATCAGTGTCAGAATAGAAATGTGCTCCAAACAGTTGTCAATGGCTGATTTGTGAGAAGTAGTTCTCCAGGCCTTTCTTCCAAGGTAATTCTGGGTAGAATCACAGCTCCAAGATTTTGGCTAGGATTTGAGTGTGTAACTGTTGATATGGCCCATGAACTGAAAAGCAAAATCAAACTTTTTGCTGCCATGTTGATGCCAGCCCATGGCAACGACATGTGTGCCAGAGTAGGCTTGAAAATGGGGTTTTCTTGGCTGTAATTTTACAGGCAGATTTCAAGACCTTTCTTCTGCAGTATTGCTGCATGGGTTTGAACTGCCAACCTACAGGTTAGACTGGAGTGCAAACCCTTTGTGCCACCCAGAGAGTGTGATTTAGAGACTCTGACATTGAGTTGATTCCAACTCATATTGAACCCATTTGGAGTTTCCAAGGATGTAAATATTTATAGGAGCAGACAGCCTCATCTTTTTCCTGTGGATCGGCTGGTGGGTTTGAACCACCAACCTTGCAGTCAGCAGCCCAACACTTACCCAACAGTACCACCAGAGAAAGGAGAGCAAAAATAAATGCAGAGGAGGCCCCTTCAAAAGAAACCCAGAGCCAGTTGAGTGGTCTCTATAGTCAGAATTCAGAACCCCAAATTCCTTGGTGGTAACAGGGAAAACAAGACAGGCTGGAGGGAAATGGATCTTACCTTAGCACAGTGACCCTACAGCCTACATATCGGGCACCCAGGCTGCTCCCCTGGAACAAGGGGCTGAGCTGGAAGGGAAGGAGGGAGCCAGGGCTGGTCAGATAGGAGCAAGAGCACTGGACTGGGCACAAAGGAAGAGGGAGGGGAAGTAGACCTCTCACCAGGTGCTGCATGAGGGTATCTGTGATGTTGAACTTGTGAGAACCTATGCGGCCCATGTCAGCTGAGTAGCGCAGGTTGTTGATGGTGAAACTTAGGGTGAATGGATCCTCGTTGACCTCCCCACCTGCAGCAAGGGACAGAGGTGATGCTCAGAGAAGGATTTCCAAAACCCCAACTGCCTCCCCCCTGCCCAGCCCTTCTCCAGATAAGGCTGAGACGATGTCAGCAGGGAATTAAAGCAGCAACAAAATCTTGCAGTGGGTCCCATGGGTGTCAGAGTAGGCCTGTTCTCTATAATGGTTTTTTTTTTTTTTTTTATTTATTTATTTTTTTTTTTTTTAATATTTTATTAGGGGTTCATACAACTGTTATCCCAATCCATACACACATCAATTGTGTAAAGCGCATTTGTACATCGTTTCTCAAAACATTTTCTCTCCATTTAAACCCCT